ATTACATCAAAGAGCTTCAAAAGTTCAGAGTACACAGATGGGAATGAGCTGAGAAATACAGCCTAGAGGAAAAGGGAAAAAACAAGCCAGTCAGATATTTCAATATAGCTTTGACATTTGCAAAATTTAAATAACTGCAGAAATGTAAATAACTGCAAAAAAATGTCTATTTTTACGTTTCAAGGGCTGTTGGTAGCATTAAAATCGGTCAGACTTAAGATGTAACATCCTTTAGTGGGCTCACATCAGTGTCTATTTTGCTTTAAACATTATTTAATGACTATTCATTTTGCTCATGACAGAATGGAAGTAAAAAGCTCCACTTAGAACAAATATATTTACTATTTTCATATGCCTCATGATCTATGTATGAGAGGAGTTTTTCAGAGGATAACAGAAGCCACTTGACACCAGAACATGATTTGAGGGATTTGTTTAATGCTTTAAGATAAGGAAAAACAACTTCCCATTGTTCATTAAAAATGAATGTGGAGACAAAGCACTGAACATGCACAGAAAAGTTTCTTTGGATTTTTCTTCTATGCGATTTTGCTGTAAACATCTCACACCTGAGTGAAATGTGTTCGAGGGAAATCAGATAGAAGAATTTCTCCTGCTCTCTCTGCTTTTCCATTTCTTGGAAGAGCAATTTTATAGTGGGCTTAAGAAACAAATAACTTTCAACAGGTTGCAAGCAGCCACTAGGGAAATGGGTTAGGGAGATGGGGCAAAGCAAAGGAGGGAGAATGATGACTCACAGACTTGGTGAACTTTGCAGAACTTTTAACAGAGAGAAGTATTTCTTATGTGTTTTGCCTCTGCCCTTCAGGATGGACTGGGCAATTTTAGCAGCCTGGATTTAAATAAAGACACTAGCCGAGTACTAACGCGGAGTTCAGTGAGATTTACAAAAAACATTCAGGCTGAGAAAGCCTTTCTGTTGGGTTGAATTTTCCAGTTCATATGTAGTTAAACCAAGATGTAAAATGACCAAAACGGAGTTTTTTTTTGTTTGTTTGTTTGTTTTTTTTTGTATTCAGCAAGTCTGGCATGTCTGGAATTCACTGGAATTACCAAAAATGTGGTGAGAACCATTTATAATTCAAAAGCAAACATCCCTGGCAAAGATAATCCTAAAACTAATATTTAGACCCGGTGGTATGAAAAATTCACACTATAGGACAAAGGTATGAGGACGAGCTGAAAATGTCATTTTGTTGTAAAGAATCACATTTTCTTTCTTGGACAATAGAAGTAAGGGCCTGGACACATTTTCCAGTGCATGTGGAAAGCAGTAAGAAAGCATTCCTGAAAACTTACTTGCAGTTGGGATAAAGCACTAGCCCCTTTGCTTTCCTGGGAGAGGAAGAAGCGCACGGACATAAGCAGCTCTTGGATGCAGCAGCGGAATTCCTCCTCATTTTGTCCACCAGTGGCAATAGAGAATAACCTTCGAGACTGAACTATGTATTTAAATATGTACTCCTGGGCCTGCAAGTGTCAATAGCAAAGATAACTCCCCAAAATGAAGCAGACATCTTTAAAAAGAACTATGATTATACTACTCAAGTAATGTCAACCATCTGAACCATGGTACTTTATTTTTGCCAAACCATTCAAAACCTTTCAAAACTACATTCTTAAAAATGCTTTTCAGTGGCATTTTGGAATCTCCATACACACACAAAAAAACCCAACCCACTTTATTTAACATATGGTAAACTGCAAAATCTCTGCTCCCCCTGTTCCTTTTCCTTTTCTCCCCTCTCCTTAACGTCTCTGACACGTTTTTGGCTACAGAAGCAATATTGCTAAGGCATGTAAGGCCAATAAAAGTAAGTTTAGGCACCCTTTGGACTTTCTTGAACTTCATCTATTAAGAAGCGATTTTGTGTCAGCTGTTAACCAGGTAACAACAAAAAAAGCTTAGTTTAAGTTGCAAAACTGATCAGAGTAAATTAAATACACAGCCATTTCTTGGTAGTGAAAGTCAGCTAACAGCAGCACAGAAAGCACAGGAAGAAGACTTCATGCTGGCATTTTATTTCCCTTATCTCCTATCCCAAAGGGGACTACTCTGTTGTGCAGATCAGCTTGTCTTTGCACTGTGCTCCACTGATGGGGCAAAACAGGTGAAAAGGTGCAAGCAAGTCTCCATTTTCCACAGACCTCCCTGTCATCAGGATTAAACCATTAAGTCAGTGTGCTGGCTGCACCTAGACTCACAGCTGTGTCAGACAATACTACCAGAGTAATCGAGTTTTGATTTTTTTTTAGAAATCCTAATCATGTATACCCTCATTCATTAAGGAACGTACTGATTCAGACTCTAGTGGTAGTAAGTTCCACTGATCAATTTTGACAAAAGAGGAAGACAAATAAAATGCAATAAAAAGTATGTAATTCCTTAGAATTAATATTACAATTCCATCACTTATACCTACTGTATTACACTTCCTAGTATCAATCTGCTAGTCTCATACAAATATATCATATGCATAGTTGTCAATCACCTTTAGTACTTCCTGTATGTGTTCTTGGAGCTCCACTTCAGTGACCCGATCAATATGCCACTTAAGGACTTTTATAAGATCTCTAGAATATCAAAAAAATTTAGAACATAAAGGTGGAAAAAGAGATAACAACATTTAAAATGCAAACATCTTATATAAATAAGAAACACTCAAAAACAGAATTTAAATGGCAATGTTTTGATAGTAACAACAAGCCCATAACACATCTCATGGTCAATCTGCTGTAATATTACATAACGGTCCTCTAATGAACAGTAAATAATTGTAATAACATCAGCATTACATACGCACTAGAATGATTTCAACGGGACAGCAAAGTTAAGCTAAGCAAGAGTCTCTGCCAGGTGGGCACACCCCCACTGTTCCATGAATTAGCTTGTTAGACTTACTAAATCACATTGGATAAAATGCATTTTTTTTAGCAAGTAATAAATAAAGAGAGTAGGTAGGGGTTAAGTGATGCTTATGAGTGCACTGCACAGACAGCAAACAAGTGCAGTGAATGATGCTAAGGCTCCTGTGTTGCTCAAAGTCATTCAGGTAAAGAAAGCCATTGATATACAAATTAAGTCAACACTAGAGCTTTAGCAAATAATCTTTCTGTTACTTTTGTTTGCTTCTTTCTTTTTTAATGGCCTCAATCTGGGCCATTCATATAACTGTAGCATTTTACTTTTCATATTGTAGTTCAATTTAATACAACAATTGCTTCTGTTTAGTACCATATTGATCAATATTCAAATCAGTCAGAAAAAATACAGACTTTACCTGTATGCAAGTGCACCTGCAAAGTGACTTTCAATGTAAGTGTCCATTACTGGTTTAAAATGGTGAAACTTGCTGTCCTGCAGCAAATTTATTATGTGAACCTACAAGAGAAGACATTTTTAAAAAGAAATAGTTTTTTTCACTGAATTCTGAAATATTCAGAATATTTTTACTCATAACCACAAATTGAAACTCACCAAACAATCAAATACTTTTGATCCATATTTTTGAGAATTTTCATCTAAAATCCCAAATAAAGTATCTAATGTATCTTGAAGAAACTGAATAGAAAAGAAACAGACTGTTATTAAATATGTATTTTTAACCAGCAAGTAAATTGTTTCTTTATATACTGCTTAAAGCCAAAGTGAAGGAAAGAAAGAATGCTACACACCTTCACTATTTCTGAACCATCAATTTCTTTCAGTTTTGAGAGGCAACCTGCAATTTTGTCTGGGTGGGTTCTCCATTTCAGAAGGTCAAGCATATCTCCTGCCAAAACAAAGGCAAGATTAAAGCTGGAAGTAAAGCAGAATTTAAGATTTTAAATTCTACTATTACAACCAACTCAGCAAAACTTGGCTTCACCAAAACAAGAGGAAACATCTCAAGAATTGCAGTAAAATGATCTGCCAACGAAAAGTTCCCACTTTATCCTATAATGGCTCCACCAATAGGGACACGAAAACATGACACACGGTCATTAAAATCAGTCTCCTCCAGTAGCCGTATCGTGCAGTTTTGCTCCGATTTGTCAGCTGTCACCTTCAGGGAAGTCAGTATTTTGTGGTCTGTATCCCCACGGGAGGATACCCTCCAGAGTCTCGCTCATCTGATGGCCAGAAACAACCCCCTAGTTACCAGCTCACAGGTAGTCACGTTTTTACGCCAACATCTTCCAGCATATTTTTAGAGAAAAAAAACATCATTCTTTTAAGGTTATTTTTTAAAAAAAGCATGTAAACATAATTAGCACATCATACATCTGCTGTAAAGAGCTGCCATGTGTGTTACAGAATGATAGTTTTTGAGACTGAGTTTCAATGGCGCGGTACAAACGCTTCTTTCTCCTTTTTCCCCCACTGCTCAGCCCCTTGCTATGGTAGAACCCCCAACCAGCCTTCTGCATTTTATTATCCTGCATTACAATCTAATTCTTCTTTTCTTATTGTCCCCTCAAGGTCACCTCATTCTGCCTTTGAGCCTCTTTGAGCCTCACTCTCAAGTGAGGAGCCCTCTCAACTAGGTACCAACAAACTTCACGAACCTACATCTGACATTCCCCCCTCCCAAAGCCCCCAGATCAATCCCAGAGTTAATTCTTCAGATTTCACAGTTTGCCTTCCTTCAGGGGGTCCCTTTACAGCATGACCTACTGTTTTCCTTTTAGTCAGTTATTTACGGGTTTTAAAATTCTTATTCTAATCTGTATCTATTCTAATTTCCCATGTGGTGTGTTACTGAACTCCAGATGGTTCAGATCTGCTACATTTCCTCTGAATAATACTTAAAAAAAGTAAAAAAAGGGTAAGAGAAAGGTTAAGGTGTTTATTCTGGCATGATAAGCTTTTGATAAATCCATCCTGGATTTTGAAGCATGTTCCATTTCGCTGCATGTCCATAAAAATCCTGTCACTCACACTGTCTTGTAAATATTTGCACAAAACTGATTAGACGGTGATGGCTGAGATACCATTTCTGCTTTTCCTCCTTTCTTAACTATAAGTCCTAGACTTGTTACTCCTGAGTCAAGTAATACATCTCTCTGCTTCACAGATACAATAAAAACCTTGCTGTATGTCTGGGAATATCACGTCCCACACCATTCGTTATTAAAAAAACAACCCTGCAAATCTCAGTTTGACTTTTGGCAGTTTTCACTTTTGCCCGACACTAGCTGAACTCCAACCCGTTGCTGTTAATTTTCTCTCCTTCACTGTAGACGCTCACTGCAGACTCCTACCATGTTTCATACACTACCCATTGGAGCAGGTCTGCAGCAATTCCTGCAAGTCGTATTCTGAGCACAGAAGCTCCACACATATTTGAACCTCTGCATTAAATAAATCCCAAAGCTCCTTTGCATTCAAGTTGGCTCCTTCCATATTTCACTAGTCAGCTTTTCAGAACATCTCAGTGCCTGACCACTCTTTCTCAAAAAAGAAAATCTTAAAAACAACAGTCCAACCCTTTAATCAGTTTAAACTGAAACACTGACAAATTGATCACTGTCCCAAACCATTTCTTCTGAAATGTACTTAGGATACTAAGTACATATTAGCAATATAATAATAGCAATACTAATTGTGTCCTGCACAAATTGTTTTCATGCATTTATAGCTTTATTGTTGTTTTCTTTTACACTGCCCTAATATGGAATGCTCTGGACTAAATACACTAAGCAAGTACCCTACGATCCCATGTCTGTGTCAGAGACAGATACCCCTTAAAAGATTATGGTTAAATTACAGATCTCTTTATTCCTCCTACCAGGAATTTTGAAAAAACAAGGGCTACCAATTCCTAATGAAATCTATTTGTGTTTTGGATAGTTAAATAGACTTTGACACTGGCTTCTGTTTAAGCTTCAAGTCATGGAGAATGGAAACTAGCTTAATCCATCAGTCCACAGTAGGAAAAATACATCTTTCCAGGTTTGCTGGAAAAAGCTCGTGGTAGAGTTTTCACTGAGCATTAGGGATTTGTTGGGGGATTAAAAAGAGAAAAAGAAAGTAAATGTAAAATACTCACTTCAAAGCACTTATTTAAAGGAAAATGTAGAGAAGGAAAGACACTGCTGACACAGTGTTAGCAAACAGCCCAATCACAGACGACATGAATAGAACATCTGACATATGAACCTCATGGAAAAGGGATAGCAAAGTGTCAGATATTAAAAGAAATAAGAATATAAAGCTGTCCTCAAAAACTGGCCCACTAGAAATGAATGATTTTGGAAGACGGAAGAAGACAATGCTGCTGACAATCTTTGTCAAAGAAATATATATATATGTATTTTTCAAATGCCTTCTCTTTATCATGATTTAATTTATACTTTAAAAATAGGGCACAATACAGCTCAAACAAAGCACCTTCTCCAAGGCATTCATTTAAATCATGTGCATAAGGAAAAGAGTTTGCGATTTACTTTCTCATTGTCTCTCCTACCTTCTGAGCCACCCCTATTGCCCTTCTACAGGCAGGATATGGCACTGCACATGGAAAAGCCCAATTCCTAGAGGGAAAGCCGGGGAGCCCATTCCCACAGGGAGCTTCTTCCCAGGGTTCCCTGCGCTCCCCCAGGGCAGCGCACTCGCGAGATGCCGGTCACCGTGTTTTCTTACTGAGCACTGCTTTTGCTCTGGTTAGTCACCTAGATGGGTCACACCGTGGCCCTGAGACAGAGCTGCTGCCCTGCACGTTGCTCTGCTGCTGAACTTGCTGGGTATTTTGAACCTGGTGCTTTCGGGGCACGTGCTGACTGGCACTGAGAGCTGGGGGATGCCAGCTTGCTAAAATGGCCCAGTCTGCTGGATGGATCTGGAGTACTTAGCAGGAAAACTCCTAAAACTCAAAACCTGAAGTTGAAATAAATAAGACTCTGTTGATCCTCAGTGGAAAATAATAGTATGTTTTTCTCCTGTGCTCCCTCTCTTTATTTTTATTTTTTAAGATAACAAAACGCAGCTAACTAAGAAGCAGAAAAGCTTTTTGTTTTGTTTTGTTAGCATTATCTGAGCATTATCCAGGAACTGAGGTAAAGTTAAGGGGAGGATAACTGGCAGACAGCCTAAACAGTGCTGTCCTGACGGCACAGATTCCTGTCGGAAGCCCTCTGCAAGCCCTGGTTTTCCAGAATTACTTCCAAAGCATCCAGGGCAAGGAAGTTAGGGATCCCAATACCAGGAGACCACCTTCTTACCCCACGTACATGAGAGCTGATGGCAAAGAGCTGCAGGAGTGAACAAAAGGAGGACACTTGAGTTGCTCACCCCGGTTACCCTAGCCCAGCTCAGGGACAGGCTGCACACATCTGGCCTGCGGTGTTGCCACCCCAGCCAGAACAATGTCATCGCTTGTGATCTTCAAGCTGGACCTTGCTGTTTGCAGTCACATGTAGATTTTTGACAACTTTAGCAAAATCTCCTAACTTAAAAAACAATTACCAAAAATAATCACCAATATTCATACATACAAATACAAGTGCGTACTAAATAGAAGTATACATATAAAGATCTTTTTAATCCTCCAATTTTTAATAAATATCCTGCATCCTCCCAGGGATAACTGAAGTAATGCTCACATGACCAAACAGCCACATGCTTTGTTCTACATTCATTTCCTGAGCATGCAACAGAATTTGGCAGATTTTCACTTAAAAGAACGGGGATTTGGAAACTCACCAAGATGAACTTCCCAAAGAAGATCCTTGGAGAAACTATGAGCCTGTCTATTGAAAATATTTCCACCCTCTGAAGTACTGCTGAAATAACTGTCAACTCTTTCAGAGCTGAAAAGGGGATCAATATTATTCAGATATTCTACACCCTCTTACTCTGTATGTGGTAAAGAAATACATTTTTAATGCCCTCACACATCGATTTATATCAAGTATTAAATAATTCCTGAACTGCCAATAGAAATTAATGGTTTGAAATTCCTATAATCAGAGTCAAAAAAAAACTTAATTTTGGGGTCTGCATCAGTGAGCTGCTAAATTTCTGGGCAGCCCTTTTGTGCACACACAACTCCCAGTACATTCATGTCATTTCCTACATCAAGGCCTTTAACTGGAGCAAATTTAGCCTATGATTGCCTATTAGCATTTTTGCTGAAAATCTTTAATTGATTAATTTTTACTACTTGAAAGTTAATTGCTGCGGGACTACAGAATGGATGCACATAGAGAAAGAGACCACTTACTACCAGCCCGTAGTTCTACTTTGGAAACTTACTACTAAATGGTGAAAATTAAGACAACTATTTCCATTTAAAAATCTCTCTAGTTGCTATTAAACACCTACAATTAAATTGTGAGTAATTGGCAATTTTATCCCTATTCAACTTCATCAATAAAGATAAAAAGGGAAAAGACACAGTTGTTTCACATCGGAGATAGATGATCAATTTCCTAAAACTGTGATAAACAGCTGAGAAGAAATATTATGAAACCACAAGGCTATCAAAGAATGGTCAGAAACACATAAACAAGCAAATATGCAAGATTGGGAAGTTTCTAGAAAACTGTTTCAGTTATTAACTAACTGTACCTAGTACAGCAAACAAATAAGACTAAGAATTTTATACAGAGCAAATGTAAAGAACTCAAATGCACATATAGTTGTTATCTCAAATTCTTTAGATCAAGTGGATCAGACTGTTTTTATCATTCAGAAATAGTAAACATTTGCTGACTTAGAAGAAGAGAAATGATACAACAGAAAAGCAATATGTACCAAATTAAAACAGAAGTGCCACAGGCTAAAGCCTGCAATAAACACTTTCTAAAAACTCCGAAACAGATTAAGAGGCTTTGCAGAGCAGCTGCGTTTTGATAGTTGATTCCAGAAGTGCTGTATTTGATTCAAATATCATGTTAATTTTAAAAGCATTTTTGAGCTACTTAAAATCAGTGGTTCATCATGTTACACTGGTTTCCATCTGGATAACAATAATTAGGAAACAAAAATCAGGTTGTAAAACTGACACAATGTAAGGTTTTTTTTTTTTTTTTGAGTATATCTATGCATATTTAGCACGGAAAAGGCTACCTATCACATTCATTGCATGTATCATGTTTTAAATATTCAGCCTATCTTACCATTTTGTGTGAGTTTGGTGGAGCAGAGAAAGGACGTAATCCAGAAGGACTCTTTAGTGGTTTTTACTGCTTGGCTGTTGTGTCCTAGGAAAATTCCCTTTGAAAAGGGAAGCTTGAGGTAGCGACTAGAATCCTGAAGGTTTGTGTTTTCTTCACACTGTGAAAACAAACCAGTGCAAAATCACTGCACTACATAAAAAGGAAAGACCAGATCCCTAACTATATGAATTATTCCTGTTTCTTTGACAATAAATGAGGGAAGACAATTTTCATTATGGGAAGACCTTATACAAATGAATTCTGGCATGCCAAATCTGACAGATAAAATTTCTGTAGAAAAGAGGGTAGACACAAGTTTGCATTGTGTTTCTTGTATTTCTTGATGATTGCTTTGTTTAAAAAGAAAAGGAAATTTCAAGACTTTCATGCTTCATAATGTATTCAGTAAGTCTTATGACTAGGTTTAAACATATGTAAAAAGAAGAACAGACTTAAAGATTAGGTAATGTACCAGAGATCTGGTAGTTAAATATTTTTAACCCAGAAAAAGTAATATCAAGCTATCATCTTAAACATATACACAGATCATGGAGTACTTTATCAGCATAAAGCCTAACATGCAAAATATACATATTTTACATGTCTTTCCAATTTTTATTCTCCTTTTGCATAAGAACTAAACCATTGTTATGAAGACTATCCCCTAGCGACAAAATGAGTCAGCACATTCTCTAACTAAAAATATTCTTGTTTCAGATGGGAAAATCAGATCAAGTTTTCATATGCATAAACAAATTAAGCTCATTTTCTCATTAATGGAAACTGCTTTTTCATCTTTGCTTTTAGATTGTAGTTTTGTATTTGATATGAAAATCTAATAATTTTGCATAGGTTACATCAAATGAGTAGCTGCCAATTTTGGTGTTAAAATTAGCATTTAATTGGGAGCATATCAAAATCCTGTAAAAAAGGTAATTGTTAAATGTAAGCAAGAAAAGAAATTCTGTAGAACTATAGTTCTGGTTAGTTCTGTGAAACTAACTGTACAAAAAGATGCCATGGGGTGGATGGCCAGGAGCGACAAAGGAGAAGGGCTTGCTTGTTTTTCCACCTTCAGCAATTTGTTGGTGGATAGTAGAAGAGGCACTTTAACACACTTCACATGTTTTAACTGATCTTAGCTTTGTGAAATTCACTGTGAATATAGTGTACTATATTAGCACTTCACAAGTACAAGCAACCACTGCATTGCATTCCTAGCTTCAACCGCAATTTTAACAAGATCCATAATATTAAACAACTAGCAAAGGATAATTTTAGTAGTGACAAGATTATCACTCATTTAGCAAGCAATATAGACTGCCTCAGCCTAGCGCTTCTGGGTCTTTGCAGTAAGTTCCAGAGGAATCATTACTGTTAATGATCTCTAATTCAAATTACCTTGTGCACAATGAGTTCATGGGTGCCATCTGGCAGCGTCCTCCCATTTTCCTGCATCAGGGGCACGAAAGAAAAGCCAAACAACTTCTTCTCACCCTTTTCTTTTGCTGAAATATGCAGGTCAGAAACAGTATTTACAGTTGACATTACGTGTTTTAGACAAAGTGAATGGATATAATGCAGGCTAAGAAATATACTGGAAGCTAGTTGAACTAGTCAAACCAAGAACATCTTAAATCTCTTTTTATGCTTCTTTACAAGTAAAACAAATTCCAAGATTAATAAATTAATAAATAGATTAATAATAAAAATGGATTAATAAATAAATTATTGAGGTAATTTTGCCAGTTTTTCTTCAGACTGATGCCAATTGCAAGATAGGTAGAAGTAAGACACAGTAGATAGGCCAAGTTAAAACCTTGCATCTGATACCCTCATTCTAGGAAATAGAGCACCTGACTCTTGAGAAAAATTACTGGAAGTCAACACCTTCCCCTTAGGCTTTTGTCACACATGGAGCTTATTCACAGAGCTAGTGTTTTTCCTCATACTACTAATCATGAACAAAAATGGCAAATAAACTTGAATGCAAAAGGTGTGGGTGACATTTTTCAGGCTAGTTGGCAGCCAAGATCCTTCATAGAGACTGTTCACAATGGAAAACTCACAGTTCTTCCAAACTACACCTTATTACAGGCCCCCTGACAAACTGGCCATCTGTACCCAGGGATTGTCTGTTCACAGCTCACAGAATCAGGCTTTAAATGAGATTTAAGAAGTAATAATACATACAAATGAGCAAAGAAAAATCTTACAGATTTCAGGATCTCTAGGAAGTGGCTATGAGAAAGACAAAGGGAGGCGAGTACCAAGAATAGGTATAACCACAGCACGACCAGATACTACACTTTATTATGTTGGAAAGCCTTCTGTTCTTCTACAGTAGTTCTAAAAAGCATTCTAAATTGCAAAAAAACAAACAGTATTTTTATGCCTGCAATTGAGATAGAGCCCACATGCTCTCGTGTGAGAATATTTTTGGCACATATATCTCAACTGGCTGATACTTGTCCTGTACTTGACCTAGCACAAAAAAAACAACCCTTAGCCATCTTGCATTGTTTCTTGATGCAAATAAATCTATCTTTAGTTTTCCTAGTTCTCCTGTAATCCTGTGAACGCTTGTCAAAGCAAGGTCTGCTCTCCCTGCAGTGCTTTATGTCAGCTTAGTTAGTTTTCATGTGCAAGGCTCCCTTGAAGTCATTTGCTTTTTCTGACAAGGCAAGAACTGCTGCACAAATAGCTTAATCTGCCTGTTTCTGAAGTGCAACGACTCTTCTGCCCCACATCACTCAGTTACAGTTGCTACTTTGGAGGTTTAGCAGATGCTCATGGTTATGATACTAGCTAGAGAAAAGACTTTTTTTTTTTGAGGCTTTAGTTGCATTGAAAGGCAACAAGAGCAAGCTTTCAGTTTACATCTTAAAACTTGCTTCATGAAGCATCTGAAGTAGTGAAAGAGTTGTAAATTTAGTGTGTCTCTTCTGTCTTTATATATTTTGGAAGTATTTATCCCAGTATTTGTCACACTAGACCGCACTATGTCATGGTATTTGTAGGACCAACATTTATAGAGGAAAACATGTTCTACTTCCAGAAGAGATTTTCAGATCATCTCCTCTAATGGTTTCTGTTATCTCACTGTAAGTTCCAAAGCAGTCTTCTGGAATTACTTAATAATTACTGCAGAAAAATAATAAAGGCTTCAAACTGTAGCCTTCGCAATGTGTAGAGATCCAAAGGACTGCGACACAGCCTATCCAACACGAGAAAAAAGCCATTTTGTGTGCTATCCTCTATAGCAGCTCCTCCCCACCAGTTTCTGTTTTAGCTCAGTCTCAGACTACACTGCACTTTTGTTTTCAAATTAAGCATCTACCTCCGCAGACACGGCTGAAAAGGCTATTAATAGCATTTATGCACTTTACATGGAGTCTTGATTCTGGTGTCTAAGTTAAGGGCTACTGGCATGGTAGAGAAAACAAAACAGTAGCAAAAAGATCCAGTTTGTACCCCATGGGAAAGACTGCACAAACATACATAGTAAATCCATTTGAAACATGCCATTGTCATCCAAAGATACTGTCACCTGTGTGGGCACCATTTTGCACAAACACAGTGTAAATAATGAAATCTTGCAATATCTGCATCGCCATGAGTCAAGAAAAGCTGAAGTTTAAAAGACATGTAGTTTTATCCACCTTTCTGTACTCGGTCAAAAGCATTTGGTACCATGTGTACAAAACCTGTCTTCCACATCTTGCATGCAAAAGATTGATCCAGAACTCAGTATCATTTTTTATCCCAAATCATCTCTAAATTATCTCTAAATTATCGAGAATATTCAGGGCATTTCAGAATGACTGGCTTTTGGCAGGGAGTGGTAAGAGTGTGAAAAAATGCAGTACGAGAGTTACATTAGCTGACTATACTGCATCTACTTCTTCCTTGTGTGGTTTGGTAAATTTATTCCAAGAACCAAGTTTAGATTCTGGTAATTCAACAAGTTCATTCTAAATCTTAATTTTCAATTTTCTTGAAACTGCTTTACAGCCATAACAATGCATATTTCTATTTTAATAAAACTAGACTAGCTTCTCCTGGTATTTAGGCTCTACCGAAACCAAACGTCCACCAGGCAGAGCCGCAAGCCTGAAAAACTGTGTCCTAAAGCCACTGCAGAGGGGGAAGTGTTTGTGCAGCTCTTGGTGTTCGAGACGAGCAGAAGCTGCGGCCACTTACTGGAGCAGTGCCGGAACTCGCAGCGGATGTGCGCCCCTCGGAACTTGTCCACCGGGATAGGGAGCTTCAGCAGCTCGGCCCATCGGGGGCCGTTGTTGTGATACAGCACAAAGGAATGGTACTCGCTGGCTGGGGGCTCTCCTGAGCCAAAGGAGATAAAATCCTGGCAAAGGAAAAAACAGTGCTTAAAGATGAAAGGACTGGTGCGTTTTCCTGGCAAGACGTCACCAAGACTATTTACTAAGTGCTATATGTGGTATAATGCTATGTATTCTAAAACCCATAAAAATACTAGCACTTTGCTAATATTTGCTGGTTAGAAAAAATAGCAAAAATCATCAACACAGAGGAGAATCACAGGATTATTTAAGAAAAATTGTGTCAGGAAGGTTTAAACAACAAATATGATGTGGTGGCCCCAGATACAGAACGGTCCTTCGCGCCTCATCCCCAGACTTTCCAAATAAAAAGTGAAAAGAGACCACATCAGGTCCCCAAGACTTACAGTCATCTACGATATGCCTGTAACCCCTGTGGTGTTAGTATTGCTCCCCAGCATGCACAAACGGAGCAATCTGAATGTCCTGAGTGGGAACACGCACAGTGCTGCCTGCCTTAGGCACATCCCTAACGGCTGCATCACGGAGAGCAAAGCAATCCCAGTGTCTTGGGAACACCTATCTATTCCCTATTGATAGGCAAAACATACTTCTGCTGTAGCTTTTCTTCTGAGAATTATGAATTATTAGCTTTGCATTTTTCTATCTTTGCTATATACATACAATACATACATGTGTATGTAGGCATATATGTGTGTGTGGGTGTGAATATAGATATCACATGTCACACACAGACATGACATGAATTTACACACGCAGTCTCACTTTACAGAGTTACACACACACAGAATGAAGTCCAGATTATTCGTGTCAGCAAATGGTGTCACCCAGAACCTACAGAAGAAGTCCTTTTAAATAAGAAAAACAACTTGATGCTAAAGAAACATGGAAGAGGTTGAGGGTGAACAGAAATATTTCGGTGCAAAAAAAAATCTGAGAAATAGTGATCTTCTCATGCCAAAATAAAATGCAAAGTGAACAATGCCTACTAGTTAGCTATCAGCAGCAGCAACCATCAAACCTGGAGAAAGGAAGGAACACGATCTTATCTTTTTATTACCCCATCCTGGTAATTATTGCATCAAAGAACTCTGATTTATTAAAACCAGCCAACAAATGGAAAATGATTGAAATGTGGGGCATGAGAAAATGCACATTTTTACTAAAAAAGTTAATATCAAATCAAAGCTTTCCAAAAATTGATCTTGATTCAACATTTTCCAGCATTTTAATGGGAACATTACTTTTTGGGTTGGTGCTTGCAGCTGTTTTTCTGAATCACATAATTGATACCAGAATTAAAACAAACATGCTTTTTGTAAAGATCCTAAGCAAAAGTGTAAATACGTTGAATATTTAAAGACAACAAGAGATAAACATGACCACAACCTTACCAAAGCATTTTCTTACTCCTTGAGCAATATTAAGGATACTGATTTACTTATAAAAATATTGATTTACATATTGATACTTACAATATTGATTTACTTATGTAAATGTATATCAAAATTAATTAAATACACAGATACCTTTAAAATTTGACCACTGCTGTCCACAACATGCATTGTCACTTCCACGTTTCTTGCTACACTTTTTCCTCCTTTCTCAAATTCTCCTCTTTCTACAGTGATATATAAATCATTCCTCATTTCACCTATAAAAAAAAAAGGCATGTAAGTTGCTGACTTTTTTCTTTTAATCTCATCATTTTATAACTTTTTAAGACATAGCTTAAAATGCAGGAAAAAAAGAATGTCAATACTTCTAAATCCAAAAGGGAAGACCTGAAATCTAACTGATTTTAGAAAACAATCTGTAATAGAAGCTCTACTTCCTTAAAGATTAACCTGAATTCTAGAAGCATCTATGATAAATTCAGACATGATATTTACTTATCATAAAGGAATTATTTCCATTTTCCACGGGATCTGACAGAAATGTAACAATATTTTGCACCAGAAATTTCATTACCTAGTACAGATAGAATAGGTATCTAGTACAGACAGATAAAACATTGAAAACATTTTTATTCTTTAACACAACAAACTGTACAGGATTTGAATGAAAAACAAGAAAGGAATCCAAAAGAAAGTAATCCCAGCTTCACAAAACCTAAGCAGATGCATTTTGAGCTCTTAGGAGAAAAAAAAGTTTTACTTTTTAGATGTTATAAAAAATCAAATAACATGGAAAAAAACACAAAGGAAGAAGATGTGCTTTCATAATTATTGTCTTCTTATTCTCTTAAGAGAATCTGGGCAGAAGTTGTAATCGGGCTGCCAAATATGATAGTTTAGAGAATGTTTTCCTATCTACATTCATTCAGGAAGCTCTACTCCATCTTCAAAGTCTCAGAACAGATCAAGGCATGTGGGTCATCTTACTGAAGAACAAAACCCAAACCATAAAAGCCAAATTAAGTCAAAGAGGAGAACAAGTCGCTCAAAGTATAGGATAAACAATGGTGTTTTGGAAGGAAACAGATGGCTATAAAAGCGGAAGGGAGATTACAAATAAATCAGAAAATTAATCAAGAAGCAAGCTATCACTTATGTATCAAGGGTATATTCCTGTCTCACAGTATCCGGCATAGTTGATATCTTGTATTCCCCTCTCCCCCTCAAAATAAATGAACAAACAAACAAACAAAAATAAATAATGCAATTTATTTATTGCTATATCTATGCAATATATGCATATATATAAAATGCAATATATACATGTGTATAATATATGCAATTATATAAACTAACGCTCAAGCTGAAACTAAAGCCAGAAACACATTCTTTTATTTATCTATCTACCTATCTATCTATCTTTTTATTTATTTAAATAATTTGTTTCTGGCTTGAGCATTTGGATTCGTGCTTTCGTATTTGCATATATTTCACTATTGCTTTACAAAACCACTACTTGCAATCTTAACATAGGAAAAACAACTATATTGAATTTGCACAGTTCACATGATAGTTACAGTGGAAAGCTCAAACCATAAAACCAAGCTCTTCACAAAACTTTAGCACAATATTCATATGCACATACTACAAAGAAAAGCAACATCAGATTAAAAAGTCAATAGGGTTGTAAAAAATGAAGCAAAAAGCTTTAACAGAAAACAAAATTGCTGACTGAAAAGAAAATGGATTTGAGAAGTGAACCTCATTCTGGAAAAGAACATAGAAGGAAAATCCTGATAAGAATTAACAAAAATATAGTTGGGTCCATCTTTTCAGAACTTCTTACCTCTCCAATATTCTGAAATTTTCCTGATCATATACTTGAATGTAGGATACCTATACTCCTTTAAATGATCTTTTTTCGTTTATGTAAACTATAATTACCAGACTACAAGATAATGTAGGTTTTTTCTTTTCTTTTTTTCTTTTCTTTTTCTTTTTTTGTAGGATCTTTGCCTTAACCAGGAGCCCAGAAACACATTTCTCACAGACAGAATCATCTTGTTTCTACTGAGAGGCATTTACAGCCACAAGCAGCACTGAAAGGGAAAGCCGTGCTCAATACCTAATTTCTAAGGAATCTGGTAGACAGATGGTACCTTCAGCAAAAGTATTTGCCCGATTCTAACCGCCTAGTTGCATGCATACTGAGATTTTTTCTAAAGACTCATGCTAGACCAAATTTGAGGAATTTTTGCAGAAACAGGAAAGGCAAGCCCTAGTTATTTGAGTATATTAGATTTTAATTACTGGTCCAAACCATGCACATGCAATTGAATCTAAATATAAAATATTACAAACCTTTAATCATGGAAAAAAAAAAAAAGGAACACACATCATAGAATCATAGAATGCTTAAGGTTGGAAGGGACCTCTAGAGATCATCTAGTCCAACCCCCCTGCACACGCAGGGTCACCTAGAGCATGTGGCACAGGGCGGCATCCAGGCGGGTTTTGAAGATCTCCAGAGAAGGAGACTCCACAACCTCTCTGGGCAGCCTGTTCCAGTGCTCTGTCACCCTCACTGTTAAGAAATTTTTCCTTAAGTTCCTGTGGAACTTTTGATGCTTCCGTTTCTGGCTGTTTCCTCTAGTTCTGTCATGGCCACCACTGAAAAGAGGCCAGCACCATCCTCCTCACTGCCTCCCTTGAGGTACTTACAGACACTGATTAGATCTCCAGCTTCACATTCAGAAATTGCCTTCTTCAACTCTGCTTCAGTGAAAACCTCCAATGTTTATTTTCAGACTAAGGTTTTGTACAGGAATAAGCAAGTGGAAACAATACAGAAAATGACGATCAACTTCAAGCTGACAAGTCTATTTTACCTACAATGATGTTGCATGGCATGAAAGGTCTAGATCTTGTGAAGGAATTTCTTTTAAAAGAAAGTGCAGCTCATTTTGGCCTGTTTAACAGAGGATCTCCATCCTTCAAGTCCTATAGTAACTACAAATAGCCTTAAGATTTCTAAATTCAGCAGGGCTCCAGGGCTCCAGGACTGTGCAGTGAACAGAGGGATGCAGACATTCAAACAGGAGCAGTGTTAGCCAGAATGGACAGGGTCAAACCCATATCTAGGACTGAGCATGAAGCTTTCTAGATAAGAGGCCTCCATAAAAAATGTGAATGAAAATGTTGTGAGAGTTATACATGCTTTGTGCAGCTAAACCACACAGCGCTCCTGAAATGTGAAGTGCGGTTGTAGACAGAAGCTGGAAAACAGCGAATTTAAAAAGCTATCCACTGCATTTCTGTGTTGTCCGAAACAGGTACCCATCTTAGCACACTTAACTTCTATCCATCATCCCAATAAAAATTGAGGCTAATATGCAACAATCAACCATAGGTAAGATAGATAGAAAGTTGATGCATGTTAGATGTAAGAAAATTAATAATACATTATGGGGGGAAAAAAAAGCTGTAGACCTCAGTGCTTTGACACTACTTGTCCATCACACTATGGTTTTATCCATTTGACTAATCAAAAGCAGATTCCAAATATTTAAAGCCACAGATCAAAATCCTTAGAGGAGCTTCTACTATGAGGTGAGGGCTAAGTTTGAAGCTCCACAGAAGTTGATAAAAGGCCATAAATTTGCAATGATGTGGATGATTGCTCAGTCTTAACTTTCTCATGCAGCACAAGCATTTGCTACACACACTGCAGGGATGTTTGCTGAAGTGAACTTAATTGTATTTGAAAGGTGTTGAATTGAAATATCTGAGCTGCTAAATCAGAGTTTGTACAACACAGACCCAGCAGCACCTGCACCCTCATATGGTCCTGCCAAAGCATGCCAGCTTTTACCTGGCAAAAGCAGCTAGAAAGCACAAGTTGCAGGCTGTGAGAGGAAAAAAAAAACACATAAAACCAGACCATTCTTGCCTAAAATGTAGATGCAAACAAGGCATGCTACAGCCCCAGATTTCCAAAAGAAAAAGAAACAGAAGAAGGTGTGGGCAGACTTAATGACTTCAATTCGATGAGCAACAAAGCATCCAAGGGCTGAGCTGGAGTGGAGGACAGAGACCTGCTCAGCATTAATTACAAGAAAGAGGCAATTACCAGGAGGAAGAGGAAAGGCCAATTAAACCAGCAAAACAACTGCAAGACAGATTGCTGGAGGACAAGCTCAGCTAACAGAGGTCAGCCCCGCTGACCTGCCAGCTACAAGACACAATTTTTAAATAACCAAAAAGAGAGGCAGGAGTCATTTGAGGGTTGGAGAGGACAGCGCCTGCTGAGGAGGCCCATCCTCTCGGCATGGCGCAGGTAAGCAGGCCGCAGGGCCGCGCAGGCCGCAGAGCCGCACCATCCGCCCACCGACTCCTTCCCGCACGGGTGGCAGGCAATCACCACAGTCCAGCAGCCCACGCGCACACACGAGGCTGCTGCTGGTCACAGGAGGCACCCCCGGCTGCAGCACCCCATGAAACTGCCTGCAGGGCACCCACAACTGCCCCCAGCTCACAGAGGCCACCAGCACCGCCTCTGAGCCCCAGGGCATGGGAGCAAGGGGTAGAATCACCAGAGAGGAGATCAGGCCAGGAAAAGTGTCCAGAGAAAGGCAGAATACTTCTAAGAAAGAATTGTTTGTTCTTTTATCTTTCTACAAATGTTTCTACTTAACCTACCTGTAAAAATAGCGGTCCTTTATCACAAAACTGCTTTTGAACACATGCTGAGGGAGTTGTGAGTTGCAGTTGCTGCACAGACATGACGACGACAGAGGTAGTGTAACAAATTCTCCTATTCCGATCACATTTAGAACTGAAACATTTCGTGTAGCATATTAACATGGAATAAAGCTTTCAAGCTGAAGATAGCTATCAAAGGCAGATCAAAGGCAGCTGTCTTCATTAGAAAGAAAAAGGCAGCATCATTTGCCAGCCATCCTCAAGGAAGCTTTACAGAGAAAGAAATTCCACTTTGACTATTTACTACTGTAAGAAAACACATCCTGAATCCACAAATCTAAACTGTCTCTGACAGCAGCAGCTAATTTAAAAATAATTATGCACAAGTCAGTAGGAGTGTTTGATGGCAGCTACCATCTGAAAGCTTTGTTCAGAACTACAGATGCTTCTGATCTAACAGGAGCAGAAAGCTTTATTCTGCTTACAGAAAGTTCCTGCTAATCCTCATTTCTATAAAACACAAGGTAACAAGTTGCTCTGTTTGATAACCTAAATG